ACAAATCTTGTGTATACATCTGTGATATCCAAAACATCTTCATAGCCACCTTTCCCCCGTCAACTTTCACAAAATCAATTGCGACTACCTCCAGTGGTCTAACCACAAGCAAGTGACGCATGGGTAGTTTGGGTGTAGGTTCTGCAGCCTTAGCGGTAATACACTGCCTACACTGGCCAATATAGCGGCATACCATGGTGGCCATGTTGGGCCAATACACTTGCCTCCTGAGGAGTCGACAAGTTCTGGTAACACCCTGGTGTCCTTATCCATCATGACAACTCTGCATCACCTGAGGAACGAGGCAATAACATCTGAAATAACTCTCCATGCAATGGATCATTAACCTGATGGCAGAGGACTCCATTCTGCTCCACAAAATGTGGCCACTGCACAACCATGCTTTCAGTTCCAGTGTCTTGACACTTACGTCGGTGACTGGTTCTCCTGGGTGCCACTCAGCATCCCAGCGCTTCCAGACAACTCCCAATTCCGGGTGCTCCTTTTGCGAGGCTTTTAGCTGGTAAAAAAAAAACATGACAGAAACACACTGGGCTGATCCGGCCCAACTGTGTGCTTCCTGGGAATGGACTCAAAGGCAGTACTCTGTGTCCGCCCGAATTGGGATCGCACTTGAGAGTGCCAGAGACTGGAAGACCTGTTTGACATCAATGAATGAACACTGACAGTGACCAGGATACCTACTAAGGGCATCAGCACACTTGTTCCTCACCCCTGACCTAAACTTCACTTCAAAATTAAAGGAAGAAAGCTGAGCTACCCATCTCATCTCGCATGCCCCGAGTTTGGCTGTCTCTAAGTGTGCAAGGGGGTTATGATCTGTGTACATTGTGAACAGTAACCAAATGAGGTAAAATTTATTGACAACTGCCCACTTTAATGCAAGAAGCTCTAAAATGAACTGTAATCAGGATAATTATGTTCAACGCCCCTAAGCCCCCTGCTGGTGTTAGCCACTGGATGCCGCCTCATTTACTCATCTTCTTGCGTGAGGCAAGTCCCTAATCCCTTAAGAGAGGCATCTATTTCCAGTACAAATGGCTTGCTGAAATCAGGGTAACTCAACACTGGAGCTCCTGTTAGTGTTGCTTCAACCTATTAAATGCACCTTCAGCTTCTGTCATCCACTCAAAACTCTTTTGACTAACCACATGCTTACTTTTGCCTACTGAAGGTAGCAACTCGCGGCAGAGGAAAAGCATCACACACTGTTTTAGCATTCAGCTTCCTGGAGTCTTTGCACATTCAGATGGTCCCATTCCATTTCTTCAATAGTACTATGGGGTTAGCATATGGACTTCTGCTCTTCTGGATGATATCTTGTTCCAAGAACTTTTGAAGAAGCTCTTTCACTTCACCAACATACTGCGGAGGTATTCTACAATAAGGTGGCTTACTGGGATGTCATCTGCGGTTTGAATCTTGTGTGGAACTTAATCTCTTGTACCTAAATCAAGTGGTCCCTTAGAAAAGACATTGTCATACCTTTGAACCAACTGCACCACTCGATCAAGATCATCACCACTCAAATCACATGACTACAAACTCAACCCTGGTGGCAACTGATACAAGCCTCCATCAGCAAATATATGCATTGTAGACTTCTTGTTTCATATACCCCTAACACCGAATCTGACTCCTGAGAAACTTGCTCATCCGGTACACTGTCATAGTAGTCCCTATCTGACGGGGCAAGTATCCTATTTACAGAAACCTTTAACTCACTACCCTCCATACCACATTCCAGGTGTAGGGTGGGGAAAACTTAACTGAGGGAAGCCACCTGAGTGTGAAGTGGAATGGAAACATTTGTGCTCCCATATTAGCAACAAGAACATTTACCCAGTTTCGTTGCACAATCTCACATGAATCATAAATCCTTAAACCACTACTCAGACCGGGGTCACCTGACAGTGACGTCACTTCACTGTCAAGAACCTCACTATGCTTCCCCTGTAGTAGCACAGTTTTCCCCTCCTACATGTCTGGAGGAGCGCGAACATTACATGCCATGGAATGTACCTCCCTCGGGGGAATAAATATCATACAACGTCCCATATGAACAAAAACCGATCCTTCTGGATTGGTGAAACCCGAGCTGGTTTCTTTTTAGTCGGGTTGTTTCAATGTAGTGTTGGATTCCATGCTTCAACAACCTTATGTGAGGGATCTACTGCCATATCTTTTATCTGATGCAAAACATTAGAACCCGAGAGAATGGGGCCACGCCCATTTCCCAAACTGCTCCCAGTAGTGTCTTTCACGACATGGAAATGTGCCTCAATGTGCAGTGTATACATGAAGCTATGCATGGAAGTCGTTTCCCAACACATCTATAAAAATTAATCAAAGTACATGTAACCACGCCAAACGATTTCATGCTACATAAAACTACATCAATTGTTGAGCCTTTTTCAAATTTCCAGATACCTGACTTGACAAGGGTATTCTTATAAATGCACTCAGCAACTTAAAACAATCTACAACTTCTACATTTCTTCTTTTGATTACAACTGGATTATTCGACCATTATTTGTACAAAGTCAATTATCATTTCTTTAGTTTTATCAACCTTCAAGATAAAGATGGTTTGATTCAGAGCATTTTAAAAGTGACAGTACTTGATGTCAGTAACAATATTAAGCCATTGGTCACATAATCATTCAAGGAAATTATCAGTTTCTTTTTTGACTCTGGAACAATAATTAGATTCTTGAAAGACACTGGTAGTTTGGCTATGATAAACCACCAGTTAAAGATGTCGGCAAGAACATCAGCAAGTAAAAGGCGTGGCATGATCTGGTCTGGTCCAGCAGCTTTCCGCACATTCAGACCTGGTAAGACTTGCACAACATATCCCAGCTCTATTGTGAATGGCGGCTCCTGCTTTCAAATGTCAGCTGCCGCTACGCTCAGTGACCGAAACTCAAAACTATTACTGTCAAAGCGAATGTAGAACTTGATCTGGCGATCGGGCAGTGTAACATCAGCAGTGTCCATTATTTGCGCATTTTGCTTGCAATTTGTGATATTCCGAACACCCACCCAGAGATCCTGAATGATGTTACAGTGGTTCTCTAAAAGCTGATGATATGTACGTTTAGCATCACTGATTCTCTTTTCCAGGACGTACTTTGCCCTTTTATAGGCACCAGGTCCACAGATTTCTTTTTGTACACAATATCCTTTGCTCTAACCTTATCACAAATACGCTGTTATCGAACCATGACTTTGAATTGGGGTACTGAGTAATAATCTTTGTTGGCAGACAGTTCTTGACATACCCACTCACCATATCAGAGTATTCATTGAGATAAACAGCACTGACCTTGAAAACATCCCAAGTAGTGACCATAGAACAACCGTGTAGCTTATTACCAGCATTCAACTCAGACCAAAGGTGAATTGTTGAAGTCACCAGCTTGGAACACTTAAGTTCTTGTGTTATTAATTGAAGATTAGCCCGATTAATATCACCTTCAACATTTCCATAGTCTATGCATCTAGTAGGTAGATTAATAGTGAGAAATTATAGTACTGAGATTCTTAATAGCTGTAGCTGTGTGAGCTTGTGCACAATAGTCATGATCACACAGCTAAATTCACGGGCCAAGTAATATGGCTGACATCTAATAGTAATTTGCTCAAGATCAGCTGGTAAGCTAGAAGACGAGATGAATTGTTAATCAGGAAACAAATACTACTGCCTTGGCTCTTTCCTGCAATGTCTGGTGATCAATCCTGCCTGTAAATACTAAAACCAAAAGGTTTCATTGCTGAACTAGGGTAAGACTTGCCTAATAAGGTTTTACTAAAAATAAATCCACTATGTTTGAGTTAAGTACATCCATCTAATTGTAGAGATGCAGCATATTTGAAACAATCAACTTAGGAACTGAAGAACGAAGACCACATTGCCTGGATTTAACAAACAGTTGACCTCGCTTACCTCTCTTCCAACGTTGGCATAATTCTGTATGTAATTGTAATCTGCTGGGCACAGCGCTTGGTCTCGTAACAATCTTTACATTCCTTTCACCCGCACAGCATACACTTTTAGAACACTTAGATTTCAGGGGCCATGCTTGTGGAACGGTCTTGACAAGGCTTCGAAAACACAGTTGTCTTTGTGTTGATTCAAGGCCTCTTTCAAACTATTTTTAGTTTCCCAATACACGGCTTAATTTCTTTCTTTCCTAATGTATTTCTGCCTTTTTATCACACTGGTTTTTTTTGCTTCTTTTAATTTCATGTTATCTTTCCCCACAATTCCTCACTGTCATTGTAAATGTAAGTACCGAATTTATTATCGTATAGTATTATTATATTATTATATCATCATCAAACTCATAATCCTGTGTAATGTCATAATCAAGCATTGGTCTGATGAACCCGGGAAGACATATGCAATTTGTGTGTGCATACAAGGGGTATGGTCTCATCTTCACTTAAAAGAGCACAGTATATTTTTGAGTTATCAGAAGTGTAACAATAAGTATTACTCACAAGAAATGAAATTCTTTAAATGTGAAAAACAATTTAATTCACCTGATACGAGGGGTATGGTCTCATCTTCACTGAAAAGAACACCCGCAGACATTAAACAAAGAATATCCACAAAATGTTTTTAATGACAGTACACAGGAAAAGTGGGATAGAATGAAATGCTAACAATTTGGTGGGAAACTTCATACTTCAATTTTAATGAAATTGTTAAGATGTACAATGCACTGGTATGTTGAATCTATGCAAGGTTTCAGTACAATCTGTCAACTGAAAGCTAAGGTCTGAAGGGGGCATAACTCATCCTACTCACTGGTTGTGAAGTGGTTTAAAATAGAAGCAAACGTATGTGAAAATATCTTCCTCAACTCTAGCAAAGTATATATTATGCTTTGAATGACCATGTAAACATAGTATAGTGGTTAAGTTAGAACTCTGCAGAAATATAAAACATTTTGAGTATTGTAATATCTCACCTTTGGTAATGAAGTCAGTCTGAAGCCCATGGAGACCCCTTGGGCTGACCCACTGTTGATGAAATTTCCAACAGCGAGAACATGTTCAAGGATTGACACAAACTTCTCACTTGTGCAAAGCAGTTTGCTGGCATCATGAACCTTGTCAATTGTCTAGGCAAATAAGAGAAAGAGTACTGAATTTAGATTACAGATATTGCAGATAAGTCAGGATCAAGCAGACACTAGCTGACACTTGAAGAATGTACATGTATTTTGGTATCCAGTTACATTACATCGCATCAAAGAATGTTGCAGCAGCATGTATTCATAAATTGTAAAAGTTGTTAATTGTCTCTATTTCTACATTAGGTCAAATAAAAAAAAAAAAAGAAATGAAAAAGCAATCACTATCCCTAACAAATGAAGTTTTGAGGACAGGAATCAACAGGATTTTCTTGTCGAGGCCAGAAGTACTATGTTGAATTGTTTAAAACAATTTTTAAAGTTTATTTAAGTAACAAATACGATGTTTAGTGTAGTTAATGCCACCCAAAGAACTGAATGTGCAAAAAAAGACATGAAGTAAAATAATGCAAATGTATGTTTTCAAGATGTACTTTGTGTCGGGGATATATTAATTTTTAATGACAGGTTTTGCCGTTATATTGACATATATTAATTAATGCGGCATTCTTAGTACTTATCCGAGAGTTTGTGAACAAATCACATGCTGTCTCAGGTGGGACTCAAACCCATGACCTCCTGCTTACTAGTGCAGGTGTCTTAACCACTGGACCACTGAGCTTGCCTGGGTCAGCTTGCTGGTCTAAGTCACAAAGGGTAAAACCAGTGATCAAAAATTAACATCTCCCCAAAGTACATCTTGGAAAATGATTTTGCAGTACCTTACCTGCTGCTACATCTGACGAGAATACAGTGTTAATTAATGTATGTCAGTGTAAGGGCAAAACCCATAGCCAAATGTGTCTTCAAATCCACTTCACGCCTTTGCTTTACAACATTAACTTTGTGTTCAATTGGGAATGGAATGGACAAGCATTAACATCAAAGAGAACACAGACCAAACACACACAAAAAAGGAGGTACTGGCCTAACAGGAAAAGGCAATCCCATATTGTGGGACTCATATCCTCCTGAATGTAATTCAGAACAGTCTGGAAAGAGAACATGGGGTGATGAAATTCTCATTTGAGGAACTTCCACCTTGAAGTCAACTAAGGTGGAGCAGACGAGTTAAAAGTAAGATACTATGCCTACCCAGTTTATTTACCACAACTCACTTCATTTCATTTATTTGTTTTGTGGAGTAAACAACAAAGAAAATGCAGAAAAAGAGGTGACTGTTTTCGGTAGTGGAAAGTGAACTCAAAGTAGACACATTAAACAGAAAGCTTTGTCAACAAGCTTTCCTGAAAATCCATGTGTAGATATCTCTGGTTATCCACATGTCTGTCTCTATCCCTCAAGCAGATTGGAGGCCATGCACAATTTTGGATGTTTTAAATTCCAAAATTCCAAAGATAGTTTCCATTCTAGTGAGAGAGCTTTTTCCTTCTATTGAGACAACACTCGCCTCTGTTTACCTACATTGGCATATCAGTGCACACGCACAAGGAAATTTGTTAAAAATGTTGCTCAAGCCACACCCTCCATGCTCACTGCATGTCCACCAAGGGCTGTGAAACACAAAATCTTGTGCTCGTTTTTTTGGGCTTTCTTCTCCCTTTTAAAAATGTAAATGGGGGGGGGGCTACAGAGTGAGTGTTTTCTTGATAGAATGGAAAAACACCTTGGATAATTGAAATTCCTTTACAGAAAACAACTCACCTCTGTTTACCTACATTTGTAGAGTAGCACCATTACCTAATTATGAGGGAGAAAAGGGACATGCAGGATTCATACTTGGGAGCTGCCTATCTAGTTGTGAGAAGCTTTGCGAGTTTTGTGGGCTGCTGATCTTTCCAACTCATAAGTCCTTCAGTTGGAACCACATCTAGTAGAGGAAGCATGATGTGAAAGTGGTTGGGTTCTTCCAGCAGGCCACTTTCATAATATCAGGTAATCAAAATCCAAGCAGGTGGGTCCGAGAGGTTGAAATATTGCGTGTCTTGCCGGCTTTAGACGTCAATCCTCGATTATCAAAAGGTCTTGTTATTGCCTGCAAAACCTATACAGCGATTATGGTCACAGAGACCAGACATTGTGGCTGGACGGTTGTGATACACTACTGCTTGATATCATTTTGTAATGGCTGAGTGCAAGCAATGTAGTACTTGATGGCTTGCAAGGGGCACCACTGTTTATCCTCTACTACAGAATAAAAATTTGGTGGCAACCAATAAAGATCTGTTTTTTATTGTCAGCTGATGCGAAGATGAATTCCCTGCCAATTCAAAGAAAGCCTTGGATAAGGATGCAAGAACAGTACCTAGATCCCAAGAATGGATGAACTAGAAACATGAAGCTCTAGAAACATGCCTTGCAGCAAATGTGATATTGATGAGTTTGAAGAGAGTGAAACCATTGTGGAACCCTGATGGATAACACCAATGGCTGATCTATAACCCTTGATAGTGGAGATTTGAAGACGGTGTTGAAAAGGTGGAGAAAATGCTCAGTAGCAGTTATAGATGCATAATGGGATTGATAGCTCTTTTCTCACACCACTTGGTGAAGTGGCAAAGTTGACTATCACAAGTTTGTCTAGTGGACCCCTATCTACTCATGGCTGCCAAGGCTGTAGCTTCTTCTGAAAGGCAGCTGCTCTGATGGAGATTTTGATAGCATCCAGGCACAGAAACATTGGGTCTGCATGTACAATTTGAGACCTGGGTTGAGTCAGAAGGTCCCAGTGGTTTGAGAGAATGATTGGTGGATGAACAGGCAGGTTCAGAAGACAAGGGAACCAAGGCTGTCATGGCCAGAACAAGGCAATGCGGATGACTCTGAACAATTCTGCCTCTATTTAGTGAACAGCTGATGTAGCACAGAGATCGGTGGGAAGACACACATGTAGGCATTATTTCCCGACCAGTTGAAGCTGAGTGTATCCACCTTGCAAGCCAGGGAGAGCATGTCGCAAGCAAAAAGGTTGGAAGCTGATGGTTCAAACGAGACACAATGGCGGTCATCGGAACAAAGTGGAAGACAGGCCCTGTGTCTAGGGAGATCAAATACATCATCAGCCCTTGCAAAATGTTGAGAATTCCTATGATGCAGTGTGTAATGACAGGAACAGCCCATGGGAAACAAAACTCTGGATCGTAGCCGAACTGAGAGGGATCATTTGAAAAATAGGACCAAGCATTAGGATGAGAACGAGGTCGAAAACGATGCATCCCACTGGAAAAAAAGTGGCTGAGAATGCAACCAAGAGGCTGATGTACCGTGGCTGAAATGTGATGATGATGTTGATGGTGGTGGTGATGTTGCCCCTGGCCTCTGTGACTGGACAGGGTTGGTCTGACTGCAGGCTGAGCTCACGGCATCAAGCACCAGAGCCTGCTGTCCCATATACACCTAGACGTCGGACTCCGCAGCTTTTGCGTGCTTTCACAGGCTACTCAAGGTAGGCATGATTTCCCAAGGAGCAGTGCTGGGTGTGAATGGTTGACGGCCCCTCCCTCGTGAATGTCCAACCGATAAACCTGGCAAGGTAGTCTCGGTCATTGCGGTGGAAATATCACACTTGGAATACTGATCAGGCTTAGAGAGACAGGGTGATTTACAAAATGCATGGCTTGAACTTAAGGGCCTGTGTCTTGTTTAGGTGTCATCTGCAATTATTGAGCACAGCAAAATTTGGATACAGAGCTTTAGAACACACATGATGCACACTGTATGTGTCACTGAAAAAAATTAGGGCAGGTATTTGTGTTACACAGCCCTTTTGGGGGGACATGCAGTGAGCACATATGCATGCTGATATGCAAATGTAAGTAAACAGAGGTGAGTTGTTTCCTGTAATGGAATTTCAATTTTGTTTTCCAAAAGGTTGGTGGGTCAAGGTAAATAATTGGAAACCACAATTCAATTTTCAGTAAAACCTTGAAAAAGAAATCAATCATTTGATTTGCATGAACTATGTGCCATGCCAGTGTTCCTTGTGATCTTGCCAACTTTGTTCCCAGTTAGAGTATGAGTGAAACTCCACTCCCAGT